TTGCAGCCTTGGTGACTGTGAAGCATCTCCTTCAGAAGAACGTTAAATGCCGGAACTTGTTAGAAAATGATGCTGGAGGTGGCTCTGTCTCTGGTGCCATTGCGGTGAGAACCAAATCTTTTTTCTGATTAACTATGTGGTCAAAAGGTGCTATCTTGATTATTAGGCTACCTTCACCCACAATGTAATAGTGTTGACGTGTTACTTACATAAGGTGGTTTTTACTTTTCTCTTCATTGAATATGGATCATTCAGGCACATGATATTTCTTGAAGAAAATAAGAGAAGTACACCCCTTCTGTTTTGGGACATCCCTAATTTGTTCCCCAGCTTCTTTTCTATACTTTCTTTTGGGTGGGGGATCAGGGAAGGGGACACTGGAGGGCATGGTAAACGTAAGGCGTGGATCTGTTGACATTTTTTGGTATAAACACTTTATAGAGCTTTACATCTGGTACTTTCAGGAGTGAGCAATTCTCATGCAAAGTACTTTTCATTGTATCTTCTGAACATATAGTGTATTGCTGAACTTTCCATTTGGGAAGCTCTGGATATGCTCATTGACATTTGTTTCTGTGTGCCACTCATGGCACAAAAAATATGCTTCATACTGAAATCACTCAACATGAAAAAGAAAAAAGCTTTCCACTTGTACCATTCATATTCAGTAGATAGTTGAACCACTAGAAAATGCTGATGGCAATTCTATTCTGTTGCAGAAATATCAGCCTTATGCAACTGACCCAAACCTTAGTGGTGCACTTGCTTCAGTGCTTTGGGAGCTGAACCTTTTGTCAAAGCATTATCACCCAGCTGTTTCTACAATGGCATCCAACGTTTCTATGTTGAGCACTGGCGATAACCAGGTTTACCAGTCCAACAAATCTCCTACACAAGCTTTTAAGGAGTTGTCACTTGAGCAGGAATCATTCATCGTAAAAAATGACCCCAAAAGCTCAAGTACCAAGAGAAAAAAAGGGAATGCCTCATTAGAGCATATTAGTATCGGGTCTGACCTTGATTTCACTGCTCAAATTGATGAAAATGATGTTAGAAAGAAACTCTCTGAGCATTACTTGCTGCTTCATGACATAGCTGAAAATGAAAGACTAAGAGGGGAATTGGCTCGGACAACATTGTCTCTGAAGCTGCACGAACAATATAAAAAGCAGAAGAAAAGAAGAACAAAGTAGGTATCTGTTGTCTACAATTTTGTAGGTAGATCTATTTAGCTGTTTTCAGCATTCTGCAGTATTTCTGGATAGGAGAGTGCAACTCGCGATTGTTTTGTATAAACTGGGCATAATCTATTTTGCCTTCTGATTATGAAATAGATCTCATTATTTATATTCCTCTCTTTTCTGCCTCCCCCTCTTTCCCAACTAATCTTGTATATTCGGTTATTAATAGACAAGATGAGAGAAGAGAAGAGAGAAAAATGAGGGTTCATTCTTTTCCATAAAGTATTTTACACACTGCATTATGCCTATTGATTTCTCATTATGTAAATAGAAGAATGGTTATCCTGATGTCCAGAAGGTTGTTTTCGCTTGGATAAACAAGATTAAAATGCTGATTTTTCTTTGTGATAAATAATAACAAGGAATTCCTACAAAGATTTGCCATTTTGTTTATGTGAAATCTACCAGATAACTGCGACTCAAAGATTCTCTTCGTAGAGAACTCGATAGCTAATATGGATATTAATTTGTTGCCAAAAGTGAATTTGATGACCATATAATCTCCTCTTTCTATATAGTGGCCTCTGTAAAATTTTGTGCAAACGGGTTCACTCGATATTAAGGTACAGCCGAAACATATGCTCCAGCAGGTGTCGCTGCTGACGTCTAATTTCTTATTATTTTTGGCCATATGTACCTCGAAATAATATATTCTGAGGTCGTACTCTGTTTATTATATCTTAAAAATGAACAAATTTAAAGCTAAATTGCAAGAAATTGATTTTCATTGACACCAAATATTTAGATGCATATTGACCTTTGTATTTCCACTTTAATCATTCGTTTTGTGCTAAATAGATTGAACCATTTGAAACTGATGAGTTTACAAACTTATCATCCTGATCATGCTACCATTACATTTTCAGAAGCTTATTAACATAAATCTCTCTTCAAAGTACCAATTTCCATATGATAGCAAAGATTTGGGTGTCACGGTGAGCAGAGACGGATCCAAAATTTTGAGTTTATGGATTATGAGATTCTAGAAAAGTCAGCTTAATGAGTTTTTGGATAAATTATTTATGCATATGAAGTGAACTTATTAATAAACCTGCTGAATTATATCAACAGTCTTTCAGATTCTTGGACGTGCAATATTACGTCAAGCTTGCTTTATTCTAACGTGAGCAATAACCTAAGCCTTTTGAAGTTACTGACTTTGCAACCATCTTCATATTAGATATTAATTCAGCATCATCTACTCTTGTTTATTAATTCATTTATTATTGCCAAACTGAACCCAAACCGAACTGAAAATTAATTGCCGTTGATTTGTTATAATTTGGAGTGCAAGCGTTAAAGTCATCCTTCTCTTCATTGTAAAGAACTTTTCGAGTCACATTTACCTATAAATATCTTGAGTATTTTTATTTTTATTACACTTTCTGTAGGTAGAAGTTAAACTATTTAAGAAACCTTTTTTTAGGTACATTAACTTGAGACTTTAAAAAATTAAGACCCCTCATAAAGTTTAGCTTTAGGCCACAAAATTGGTCGGGCCGTCCCTAATCGTATTACATCATTTTTTTATAATTCAATATTAGCTATTTCATACTTTATATTGTTATTTATCTATAGGTTTCCAGAAGCTATAGTTCTATCTCTACACTCACAAATTTCTAAAAGACCCAAAGATTCAAATCTTCAATTTATTTTATTATCTTTGAATAATTATTGTAAAGTATTTTTTTTTTTGTTATTTGTTTATAGTATTTGGTAATAAAGATAACAATAATTTTCATAAGATATATATTATCTCATAAATCATAATAAGACATATAAAGACTTATGTGGATTAGCATTTCTTTGTTTGATGAGCTAGCTTAGTGAGATTAACATTCATTATATTTAGAAACTTACATTTTTTTCTTTGATATTTTTTCAATAACTAAAACACATTATTGAATAATATATATATAATTTTTAAAAATTATATATTTATTGATATAGGTACACGCGCAAAGCGCGTACCCTAAGACTAGTATATATAAAGTTTTCTAAATGTGCCATAGGATTTTAACTAGGATAATTCTTCAATTAATTAATTAATTAATCAAAAGGAGCTTAGCCTTCTCTTGAAAAGGGTAGGAGGGGTTTCATCAGGTGGATTGACAAATTTGCAATTTGGACATGTTGGTGAAGATAGGGACATCATTACTAACATATGACATTTCTTGCAAACAGCAGTGACCATCTCTTGTTGATCCACGTCAAATGTTAGCCAAGAGGGAGAACGAGTGATCAAACCTTGACCCTCACGTACTGTTCT